TGCTACATTGGTTATTCTGTGCTGGACTTTGTTGGACACAAAGGTCGGTGACCGACAGATAGCCATGGAAGAAGAGAAACTAATCTGCATACAAGATGCACCAGCTCCCATGACCAAGCAGGACGTCATATCCTTCTTGGGGTTAGCGTGATACTAACTACACTGTAGTTGCACCACTGACTGACCTGACCCCGAAAGACCAAACTAACAAGGTGAGGTGGGTTAAACCATAACAGATGGCATTTAAGAAGTTGAAGAACATGTCAGGAAGTTCGCTAATTCTTAGAATACCAGACTTCAAGAAACCACTCATTGTTCAGGCCGATGCATCAGACGTTGGAATTGGAGCAGTACTTCTGCAAGAACATGTAGACGGACTGTTTCCCGTAATGTACGTCAATGAAAAGCTGTTGAGTAGAAAGAAAAACTACCCTGTGATTGAATGAGAGTGTTTGGCCATCCCATTAACCACTGGTAAATTTCAGAACTACCTCTATGGAAAGGAGTTCATCATCCAGAGGGACCATCAGTCATTTGTCTACATCCAGAGGTGTACAATCGACAGTGCAAGTATCATAAGGTGGGCATTGTACCAATTCCATATTGAGTCCATTAATGGGACTGCAAATATTAGTGCAGACTGTATGAGTATACTCCGTGCATGAACTGAAAAGAGTTTTTGAATTTAGTATAAAATATATTGTAAATAGTGTGCGGCTTCTCATTATATATATATGACTGTTTCAATTTAAGTATAGCACAGGTGTTAAATTTAATTATTTATAGAAGTGATAGTTTATCGCAGATTTGTTTATGTAACGTTTTGCAAATCATATATTGCATATTTCAATTGTTATGAATTTGTGATTGTTGTTTTACTGCGTCATGTTACGAGAACCTTCTAAGTTTTCTTGTTATTTTTATCGAGTATTATTGCATCATAATATCTCGTAGTGTAAAGAATGTTCTAGGCCTTAGTCGGGCTATATATATATGCGTCCAAAATATAGAGAGATATAGTTATATACAGAGATAGTTAGATAGATCTAGACTGCGTGATTCCGAGCGTAGCCATAATGAGCGTATAGTGGCGAGTTCTAAAGGGAAATTATCACAGATTGTATTGCACTAACACAGTAGAGAAGAATAATTTGTCTTGCTAATTGTGTTCTAATGTAACTGAACCAGCCTATATGGAATTTGACGAAAAAGAGACAATTATTTAAAGCTCTGGATATAACAGTGCTAAGCAACAGTGTAACGAAAATTTTTATATATGTATGACTTCTTTTAATATATTATTTTAAAACAAGTGAATCGCGTGCTGTGTTTTGTTTTTATTGTTGAAATTTATCGCCAACAAAACACGATTACCTACTGTAAAGAATCCGGCCCATCTATAAAACCTGACACTAAACATACATATAGCAGTCTTAACAACTGAGCTAATAGACACCCAGCACTAATCTTCAGTTATAATTATAATTACAAGTTTGCTAATAAGCACACTATATTGTTCATGAAGTAATGCTGGTTAAAATACGAGTTAGTAAACATGATATGCGGTCCTTCCACTATTGCTGTTTAAAACATCACATAGTACGCATGCTGTAATGTTCTTTAAGTTGGTATGGTAGTTACTGTAGTTCATGTTCTGCAAACATTCATGTAGTCCTTCATATTATAAGTTTATATACTTTCTTACTTGTGTAGAAAGATGGGGAACTGTCGATCTTGTAAAATATTTCACATTGAGGACAAGGAACATAAGCTATATAATTCAATCTTTAAATCAGAACTTCTGATTAATGTTGGATTTGATAATTAAGGAATTGTTCATGTTCAACGTCTGAAACTCAAGATGGATGTTAATTGGAAAGCTAGTTAATCTCTTTCAAAATCAACAAAGTTTCTCTTTCCCGAATCAGCTGTGAGGCAATCAGGTATTAATAAAATGCTCGAGATTTTTACTCAGTATTACATAGCTGCTATATTAAATTATTTATGATGGCAATCTTTGTTGTATATTAATTGTTTATAATCATTTCATCGGAAGGCATGTCTCGATATACATGTTTCGTTACTTGTATGAATTCCACAATAAGATCATTTCACCAGCTTCGATAATTGTTAAAGATATATTAAAAATTTAACTCCGATGGTAAAAAAATAGTTTTAATTTGGATATTATACGGATATGTGTTAATTTTCAACAGTGCATTTGCTGACGTTATTAATGTTATCTGTGAAACAAAAATCAGATATTATCACAGTCAAATAATTCAGCTGGAACAACAACTCATTGTACTTAGATCTTCAAAACCACAAGTACCCCAGTGGCACAGCGGTATGTCTGCAGACTTACAACGCTAGAAACGGGTTTAGCACAGATAGTCCATTGTGTAACTTTGTGCATGTCTACAAATAAACAAACAAAACTACAATCTACTTCGATAGTAGTTTGAACTCAAGTTGAATAAGCAAAATTCTATACTTTTAACTAGATAAAAGTTTGGCTAAAAAGGTCATCCTAATTTTATTCTCAAATATTACTAGGGTTTCGTTTCTTCAACAACTTTATTGTTACGTTTTTCTGTCAGAAAAATCTCTCGTTCTTTACTCAGATCGGTATACAGTAATCTTTACGTTCACGACTTATAAAGAATAAAGAACAAACATTCCTCCTGCAAAGTGTAAAATATGTAAAATCTAAACAGCCTAATCTTATTTTTTATCTCGTTCAATAGTTGAACAACTTTATGTACACCTGGACAGAAATTGTTATAGAATAATAATAATATAACATCCATACTGTTGAAATTATACGTTTATGTGCAACATTTATGGTGTATGACAGTTTGATACAACTCATTCCATGCGACTATATAAAACCTGAAATCGTAATATATATATAATAGTGATATGTATTTTTTATCTCGTTATATGGATGTACATTTTGAAAATATTGCTTCAACTATATAACTAATTTAATCTTGTTTTGGATCTCGTTCATTCTTGAACAATGTTGTGTATACAATTCCTCTTTCATTCTCCATAACGTATGACAGTTATTATTGAACAATAATTTATAATGTTGCTGCTTCCACCCTCTTGGTTATTTTTTTATTTCCGTGATTACAATGTCTTCAAAACTCGTTTCGACATCTTGACAAATTTAGGTAGGAGTGTACTTTGTGTGTGCACTTCAAAAAGTTGACTATTGTGGAAACTCAACTTTTATATACACAGAAATATATTATACCACTTACTTTCAATTACTATCGAAAAGAAAACCAGCATGCGACCTCATTGAGGTAATGGTGAAACACTATGGGCCTAAGGGCACATGTGTTTACTTTGTCTTCATGTGATTAACTAATTGACGATCATTGCCTTATACAAAATATAATAAAGTGCTTTTTTGTGTAAGGTCGTATCGTCACCTATGAATGTAGTTGATGTTAACTTACATCAAAGATGATAACTGCTCAATAACATCAATAATGGGGGTGGAAATGTTGTGAGCCCCAGTTAACATGCAGCTTTTTCCAAACTATCATCCCACAGTGTTTGGTTGAGATTGGCCTATGAGTAGTTAGATAACAGACATATAGATTTTTGTGCTTTATATAGACAGATAATTGTTTGTCCGTTGTGTTGTACCCTACCAGTTGATATAAATGTAGATATTTTACAACAAAGGTGTAATTAAACACTAACCAATTAAAGAATATAATGACATTGTCAAATTTGTTGGATCACATTTCTTACAATATTATTTATATTTTCTCTAGTTTGTAAGAACACATTTTCAAACACTTCGCTGGATATACCTGTTCCAAAGCAGTGCTGTCCAACTTCAAACCATTGAGTGTCATATTGCTTGTTTATTTACCTGTTGAATTTCGCGCATATCTTCCCAAGCAATCCCTAGCTTGAAAGAGTACATTAGAGGGAAGGTCATTTGTCAACATATTCCATTGCAGACTTTTGGGCTAATCTTTACCAATGAATAGCGATACTTACCGTCACATTATAACACTCCCACCGCTGAACCCCCACAGTGGCACAGTGGTATGTCTGCGGACTTACAACGCTATAGTCCGAGTTTAGATACCCGTGGTGGGCAGAGCACAGATAGCCCATTGTGTAGCTTTGTGCTTAATTACAAACAAATCTACCGCTGAGAGTGCGAGCATGCTCGAACCCAGGTTTGGACCCAGCAGATTGCCAGTCGAGCGCCATAACCATCAAGCTATACTATGCCTCAGCCTGATTGCAAATTTCTATGTAATTTTGATAGATTGTAAGAAATATAAAAATTATGCTTAGCCTCAGTAAATTGTGCAAAAATTATGTTTTGAATTTTATTTTTCGAACTTAAATTTTAACTACGCTCGAGGGAGGGGTGAAGCTTACCGTAAGCCACCAATTAGATAGCCTTATACTAAAGCTTCTTCCTAAGCCACAATACCAATTACTACACTATTTTATTAAAATAAACAATATATATATAGGGGTGTGTGTCAGTTACTCAAAACTCATTTTTTTCTAGTGATTATCTATTAACGTTCGCTGTATTTATTAAATCATAGAATGTAAGAATATTCAGTTTTCTTTTAATGAATAAACAGGTGCAGTCTAATGATTAGCCATAATCTCCGTATATTATGAAGTAACAAGATTAATTATACTAAGTACATACATTCAATTTATTTATTAATTGGCCAAATATTTCATTGTACTTTAGTAAATTTCGATAATTCGTTGGAAGCTGGTAAGTAAAAACACTGTTATTTTTATCTAAGTCTTAACACTTCATTGTAATTTTGTATATCAGTTGCTTACTGTAGCTCATTGATCACCAGGTTAATTGAAATAAAATGCCTGAATTTGTAACTTTTTGTGAAAGAGAATAAGTTAAAATCGTACTCGAGCAACAGTATACTTCAAAGCCACCAAACCCTATATATTTAGTGATTGAGATAGATACGACTTACCTGCATGGAGGAACACATTTGGCTTCACACAACGATATTTTATCTTTCTCCTCTTTAACAGTTTTCTTACACTTATCTGTAAATAAATAAATATGTTACTCAATTCACGATATATTGTTGGGATTTGATTATAAATTTCCTTCAACTTATGTGTAAACAAGCAGCATAGCATTGGAGCCACTTTTTATTGTCCAATGAACCACTATAATTATTAATACATTTAGACTTTAACTTATATACTTTTCTAACAAATAAATTTAAATTAACTGCATGCATCACAGCACTAGGCAAACAGTTTATAACCCTCACAGAGAAGTGGCTTTGTCTAAGTTAAGATATATTAAAACAGAGTCGACATCTAATGTTAAGAACTCGTCCACACCATAATCTTTATCCACACAATAATGGTAACACTATTACATTCCAACTACTTATGTAGCACCTATAAATCGATCACTTTGAAACTTAGTAACAAAGTTATCAAGACACCAAAACATTCGCTGGAATTAGTGAATATTTGAATAGAGAAATATATTTAATCGAACAAAACGAAGTAATTGATGTGCATATTCCAGCTTTTCCTAAAACACTATTTATGAACTTATGAAAAGCATGATGAACAGACCTCACAGGTGGTGCCAATAGAGCTGCTGCATTATCTTAAATAGAAACATTTTCAATTTATTACAAAGATCATTTCCGGCACTTGTTAACAATCTCATCAATTTAACTTTCATCACTTCTGACAGTTTTCTTTGACAGGTTTCTAAGTTTATTACTTACAGTTTTGTTAAGTTTCCAATAGCATTGAACGGTTTCACGGAGATTAGGTTGCACGTAATCAAACATTTCGTGTTTCAATTTTTCCTTCTGCAGTATACCAAATGATATTTTTTTCTTAAATTTACATAAATATACAACAACATTGAATGTTTCCTGCATTTTCTCGCCCCTAATCTATTTTTGTGTCATGTCTCTGTATTTACATTAACCGAATTATCTTATTTCAAAAGTTCAATCGCTTTTCACTATTTTAACGGTGTAGCATTTGTTATCATCCAAATCTTTATCTTTTATCACCTCTAATTAAGTTATAGATTGTTCGGATACTGAACTTTAAAATAAAAAGAAAATGGTTGTTGTTTACGAACAATTTCTGTATTGTGAAGTACTGGGACAGAAAGTGTAGGTAATATGAAGATATATTATATAGATATAATTAACTTCTATGTATATAATCCTTTAGAAAATATCTACTTTACTGGTTATTTACAAGACAGCCATGATAACGGTTCTTTATTATTTAATTATGTCAACTTCTGTTCTTCATTTATACACAAGTTTCATCTATAATTTTCAGATTAACGTTTGCGATATTTAACACATAGATTTTGTTTGATTAAAGGTTAAATACCTTGGATTTTCGTTTCCGTTTGTGTTATGTTTTTCATGTAAAGAATTTCGCTTTGAATTCTAAGTTATATTACACTTAATTGAAACAAAACTTCCTCATACACTTGTTTCACTAAGTATGGATTTTTTACGTAATTTAGTAACGAGTTAACATTCGCTACTCAGTTCTGTGTTTTATAGAATTTCATGTTTCTTCAAGTGCAACGTTTTTCTTCTATGTCTGTACTTACAGCTTTCTGTACCGTAACGTCCACACGGTCGTGTAGAAGAGCTGTTTACAGGAACTCCATTAGATTTGATATCGGTTTTGAAACACTGACACTTATCGATTAGTTCCTTCTGGGTACATCCTTCAGTACAAATCTGTAGGATGTCAAGATTTACATGTCAGATAACCAACAGAATATTTTTATATCGTATTGAAAGGGTCTGTAATAGCAGTTTATCGAAAAACAACACCTGAAAATAGATAATAGAATTAAGAAATATTGTCTTTGTCATGATTAGAAGCTTATATGATGGCTTAAGTTAAATCACTAATGGTTTATTAATTTATTATACTATTATTAGATACTAAGTACTAGTTTGTATATATATATCCTATATTTCGGCTGCTCGTTTACTTCGATCTTCAGAAGAACCCTGTCAAACAATTAATGTTTTCGGCAGAAACTTAGGTTTGAGTCTGGATCTTTATTAGAAAATCAGGTGTGCTATTCACTTGTCCGAGCTCTAGGTTTGCTTTGTGGATTATAAGCTAGTTCAGAGTGGTCTGACTGGCGGGACCTGGCATGGTCAGGTGGCCATGGCGCTTGACTCTCAATCTGCTGGTTGCGGGTTCGAATCCCTGTCCCACCGAACATGCTCGCCCTTTTAGCCAGGGGAGCTTTATAATGTCACGGTAAATCCCACTATTCTTTGGTAAAAAAGAGTTTGCGGTAGGTTTTAATGACTAGCTCTAGTCTTTCATTGTTAAATTAGGGACGCCTAGTGCAGATAGCCCTCGTGTGGTTTTGCGCGAAATTCAAAACAAACAAACAAACCCGACTGGCGGCAAAATAAGTTTATCCGTCCCTTGCACTAACTATGAACAACGTGTTAAATTTCAAGTTCATGCATTATAAATGTTATCCATAACTCAAAGTTAGGAGAAAAATGTTATTTCTTCAAGTACTATAAGTAACAAATGTCCGTTTTATACAGTCCATTACTTTGTCTACCTGAATTACTTGGACGTTGAAGACAGCTTCGTTTAACTTTTTGTTCCCACCTTTATGGTTCATATTGCAATATTTAATATAATTGCATTGTTTAAGTCCTGATTGTATATTGTCCTCCTGAATTTTGACTTATGTTATTATTTTGTTTCTCTTCTTTATTCGAACAGACATTCAAAAGGAAAACTGTCAATGGTATTTTGCTTTCATTGAGTTTTAAGATAGTTTTGGTTTGTCCTAACTATGGTCGTATAGTGTTAATGTTTTTGAGTACTGTGCCAACTTTATGTTGTGTTCAGATCCTTTGATTGTTACCAGAAAGATGTTTTAGGCACATGGTAACATGACTACGTTTATGTATTTATTTTTTGTCTTTCTTACATTTGATATTTATGTATTTTTTTAGGTGGTCAGGGTATTTTCTGTCAGTGAGGGTCATATAGGTGTTTTTTTCTCTTACATTTTTTAGCATCTTCATTTTACAAATATTGGTCATATTAGAGGCTAGACAGGCCCTAAAAGGTGTAAGTTGAAAATACTTAGGGTAAGGTTATGATAAAATGTAAGTTGTTGTTACGGTTAATAAGCTTGAAGGATCACATAAGTCTAACTTGTTATTATTAACAATATTTGTATTAAATTCTGATTACCAATCTGTTTATGTCCTAAGTTTGTGTCCTAATCTGCTACCGTTAACAGAAGCGTTCATAGAAAGACTGTATGAGGTGGCAGAATTTGGAATTCAAGTTTAGTTATTCTTGTGACAAAGGACGATACGTTTGTTTGGTCTGCCACCTACAATTGGCACTGGAAAAAGGTAAAATCCTAAACTTTTTGTATTAAACACTATTAAGAAAATAAAGCGACACTTATGTTTTGATACTATTTAATATAAGTAAAATGTTTCTTTTTGCATTTATAACTGTAGTTATGACAGGAAACCTTAACAGTACGAGTTGAAAAAGAAACAGTAACTAATGTAAAATAAAGATAAAGTTTTAATCTCTTTTGTAATGTACAAACAGTTTTATAAACATTTGTTTTATGGAACTGAGGTTTTTATAATAACAATGTAATGATAATGTTTCTGCTCACCAACTTATCCATACCCAGCTGGTTCTCGTTGTGGCATTCTTCTCCATACGGTGTAGAAAGTGTTTCTGTGGTGGACTGAATGTTAGATATGTATAAATTATTATTGTTTACATATTAAATCATTACTTAAGATCACTCATTATTAAAATTATCATCGTTCATCTTTTTTTATGTAAATAACAACACTAATTTCTCTACACAGTGACAACGTGGTTGACAACATAAAGTGGAAATCAATCGAACTCAACCAGATTCTAGGGCTCAAAGTGAGGCTGATCACTAAGTGTTAAATAGTTTACAGAACCTGTACATTTGTATTTGATTTTCTAAGAATATTAACAATATAAACAAAAACAGCTTAGCTCTAAAAAAAGCTATTTCTTATACAAAAATAGACAAAAAAAATGATATCAGAATGCGGCCAAGGCAATCAATATTATTGTATACATAGCTTAAAATTGTTTGCTTTAAAAAGTAAACTCTATACTTGGTTTATAATTATTTTGTTATTGTTACGTCTCCGTTTGTTAATTAACTTTCCGTAACTTCGTTCCG